AACAAATAATTTAGTATATTAAGTACAGAATTAGTGCGTGAAAATAGAGCACTTTAAGTGCATTATTGGAAGTGCACTTTTTTTGGCATGGGTCATGTTGTTCCAAACTCCCTTTTGTTAATCATCAAAACAAATGGAGAGATGTCTGTCCCTCCACTGAAAGTCCATTCTACCAAATGGATGATTTGGAACAACATGAGGGTGAGTTTTTGAACTTGTTTGAATTTTTGTGTGAACTAATACTTTAAGAACAAAATAAAGTTGTGTTATTCAATAAAAAATGGCACTCCAAGGCATTCAAAGTAGGATTTAAATTTTAAAAAGCCTTAATTGAATCATGGCTTACAGAGATACAAAATACCACAAACAGACTAAAAAGCCAGACTTGTCAAAGTTGTTATTGTTTTAGGATTAAATGGCATGAAGGGAAAGCAGTTTTACAGTACTATCAAGAAATGCTAGTGTTTTGCTGCTTAACAGCACTACTGTTCACTTACAAGTGATAAATGTACAGTTCTACCCACTGGAAAACCCAATGAACTTCTAGTCTAGCTGCTATTAAAAACTTCATAACTTCGAAAAAAGTTTTCTTGATTTAAGTAGCGGCCTACGCAGAACATTTCAGCAATTATTTGTCATTGCCTCTTGCCTCAACTGGACCATTAGTTAAAGGATAATAATGGCATTAGTTTTGGCCTGATGGTGGTTCTGTGTAGTGTTCAGTGTTGGAGTGGTGAACGCCAGAGCGCTATGATTTCATGCAAAGGTCAAACTCGACTAAATGCTAATTAGCATGAGTCATCACATCCATTCATAGACCTGAACACATTATGTTACGTATGTAAACGCGGCAGGTCGCACTTCCACATTCATAACCGTCAACAGCCTCAAATTACCAGCACAGATTTATTCTTGAACTGTCAGGCATAAGAAAAGGACTCCAAACTAATTTGTCTCAGCCAAATGATAATCTTGTAACACAGAGACATGCACGCTCTCCCACACGTACACACAGAATACATCTCAATGCAGTTCACTTGGATTCAACATATCTAGTGTTTACCAAACCACTATCAGGCAGGCTGGCAAACAGCCGTCTTCACTAGGACAGTTTCAACCTCCATTGGAAGATTTAGGTCACTGGGCTAATATTTGCATAATAAACAGAAGAGGATGCGGAAGAGAATGGTGAATGAGAGGGTGTTGAAGGGAAAAAAAACAGCTGATGCTTCAGATATGAAGACATGATGCAATAGCAAACAGTTTGATTGTAATGAGATGTTGACCTCAGAAATAAGGTATCATTCTGAAACACTTTGAGGAGATTTTTCTCTTGTAAACATGTTTATATGACATTTTCAGGTTGTTCCACAGAAGCAGAATTGAGTTGTTTGTGCTATAATAGACTTTAGTCAGAGTAGCCATTTTAAATTGATAGTTTAAAGCAGTCCATTAAATGTTGTGACGTTGTGTATGTGGGATGTTCAGCTGCTGAAACATGGAAAATACACTAGTCAAGTCAAGTCAAGTCACCTTTATTTATATAGCGCTTTTAACAATACAGATTGTGACAAAGCAACTGAACAGCATTAATTAGGAAAATAGTGTCAATAATGCAAAATGACAATAGTAAACACTCATTTTTCAGTTAAAGACAGTTCATCATTGAATTCAGTGATGTCAACATCCAGCTCAGTTCAGTTTAAATAATATCTTTGCAATCATGTCAACGATAACGCTGGAAATGAAGTAAATGATCCCAGAATTTTACTGAAGTGGACTATTCCTTTTAAAGGACCAGTACATTTTTTAAGAAAAATAAAGAAATGAATACTAAAATTGTATACAAAAATGACAGTAAAGACATTTATAATGTTGCAAAGATCAAATAAATGTTGTTCTTTTAAACTTCCTATTCTTAAAAGAATCCAGATTTTTTTTTAAATCTACATTTCCTCAAAAATATTACTGTTTTCAACATTGATAATGATAATGAATGTTTCTTGAGCACCAAATCAGCATATTAGAGTAATTTATGAAGGATCATGTTACACTGAAGACTGGAGTAATGATGCTCAAAATTCAGCTTTGCATCACATACATAAATTACATTTTAAAAGATATTCAGATAGAAAACAGATATTTTAAATTGTAATAATATTTCAATTTATTGTAGTTTTTGCTGTATTTTCTATCAAATAAATGCAGCCTCGGTGAGCATATAAAAAAAAGCACATTAAATATCTTACTGACCCAAATAGTAATGCATGACTTTACACAAATGTACAGTTAATAAAAGACTCTGGAAAACAGATTATGAAAACTGTTATGTGATTGAATGACCTACACTGTTGAGTAAATTATGTAAAAATAAAGTAGAAATTCAGTTTAGAAAATTATAACCAATTAGGTTAAATGCAATTAGGTCTCACCAATAAATACCCCAAAACCCAAAACAACAGACTCATGCACTTATTTGTTAAAGATATATTACATAATAGTATTAAGTAAATATTTTTATTCTGTCTTGTCATTGTTTTTTTTCCTCTTCATTTCTCATTTCCTGTCATTCACAGTCAGTATTATCGCACCTCCAAAGTTAGAACGTGTCATAAGAAAACATAAAAGAATGGAGAAAAAGATATGAGAATACGGTCGCTTTGTGCAGGAAATTGTCAGGTGCAATCTCTCCACTCGTTTTTTAATGTCACATTAACATTTCCCCTCACACCACCTCAGCACGTCTCTGTCACCTGGCAATAAGCAGGTCTGTTTATGATATCAGACTCTGCTGATTTGACGCTACTGTGGCTGTCAATCATACTGCTTCATACTTCTATTAGAAGTACTTGCTAAAACAAACAATTACTATTATTGCACCTCATGCTTAGTGTTAAACAATGTATTAAACTTAACTCATCAGCTAAGTGTGCAAAATACATGATTCATGCCGCAAATCCTGCAGTTTGTTGAAGAGAGGTACGTTATTACATTTTTTATGTAATAGAATTTGACATTTTTGCCTGGTTGGTGGTAAAACATGCAAACAATCCCATGGACATACATTAGAGAAGGGACCCAAGTCATTTCTAGAGATCAGAATATCATAGAGATGTGAGGGTAGGCATTGAAATGTCCAAGCAATCACCCAGAGTAATCACCTAGTCAAAATTACACATATAAAGTGCAATTCAGTACAAGTCCATTTTCAATATTACGCATTAATATCTTTAAATTAGCTGTGAATGGTTTCAGATGCTGCCCACAACCAAGAATTCAAATCTAAATAAAAGAGTCATCAGAATGTGGCAAGAGTAATGCACATTACAACAGAACGAATATGCGAGTAAGTCTGAAAGTGAAACCTCACAACATCCTCTTATTTAAGGAGGAGCAAGCTGACAGGAAGGCTTATATCTATAATTAGATATACATTTGTCTGAGTCTTTTTTTAATGCACTACCATTACACTGGTGGAGACTCACGCTGGGGGTAAGCATGTCTAAAAGCATTTTCACACTGACACACACACATACACACACACACACACACACACACACACCTACCTTCACATGCTCTTGTTCTTTTCAATTTCTGCAAAACATTTAGTACTTTTCCATAAAGCATGATTCACCCACTGACGTCTCAAAACACTATGCTGTTTCCTTGAACGTTTTGACGAAATGAAAGTGAGTAACTGTTAAAATGGAACGTTTTCATCAGAAACGCAAACCACCTTCTGAGTTTTGAGGCTTTTTAGTCATCTATATGTTAGTACAGAGACCTCCAAACTTGTTTTTCAGCTGAACCCCTTTGGCATAAATATTTCATTGCAATACCCTTCAGATTTTAAGTTAGTATTTCAAAACTTTAACAACACATTCGCATGTTCACAATTCTCTGATGTCAGGCACTGCTTACATGACATACTGTATGCAGGTAAACAAATTGAAAAAATCTTTAGTAAGCCTAAGTGCTTACATTTGAGAAATTATTTATTGTTTTAATTTGACATTTTTATGATGTAATTAATTAAATAATAGCTTATCAACTCAACTCAAATCTAGCAGTTCCCTCATGAAACTCCATTTTGGGAAACACTGAGCTAGAATATTCCTATTGACAGAAGGGCAAATGCACAGACTGAAAATATTCATGACTCATCCTGCACTTAAGGGCGTATCCAAATTTGTGTCCAATCAGATTCTTTCTATAATGATAATGCCCCTCTTGACTAGCAACATCATCTCGCATACACAAAACACTACTGGCTTTTTTTTTTGCGATAGTTACCAACTCACTGTTTTAAAAACAAATATGTCAATGCAAAGAGTATCGCTGATAAATAACCTTAATTTATGTTGCCATCTGCTTACTTACAGTACTTAAAAGCAAGTCAATATACAGAATGATTGTTTGCAAACGCAATGGTCCATAGAACATAGTCCAACGTTATTGTTTACAGTCTACTAGTAGAAAATACTTCTACTTGGATTAAACAAGCATTTTACTGTACCTCTGAATACATCTTCCCTTAACATCAGTCCTGTGCTAGTCTACACGGCTGGATGTCTTCACGTATGCATTAGTGTATGAATCGTGTGACAACTACAAACAATAGCTATCCTGGCCACTTAGACATGCCTCATTTCACCTTCCCCATTGCCACCACGACTCATCGTCTTCTCGGAGGGGCCACGTCCATGTCACCCACCAACACAAACACACACACCTGCTGTTGCAGCCTGAAGGAGAAGGGTTAAATCCCCCCACCCTTATACACACAAACAAACACAACGCTCTTGCAAACGGTCCGCTCGCATACTCCCGCCCCCCCAACCCCAGTCCTACACCAGCAGTCAGTTGTTAGTTAGGGGGAGGGGGTGTGAAGGGGAGAGGCTAGCGAAGGTCTTTGTGAGAGCGAGAAAGAGAGAGAGGAACAGAGCGTTCTATTTCTCATAGATGAGCAGCTGCTAGGCAGGACTGTCTTGAAAGCAGAGAGACAGTGAGACAGACCATTTGGTGCCTGAATGTGAGCGAGCGAGCGAGCGAGCGAGGGAGAGAGAGACGCACACACTCAGCGTGAGCTTGTGGTTTAAGCAGACACTAGCCGTGCGTTTAGGGAAACCCACAGTCTCAGCTCCCTGGGATAAAGGAGTGTTGTTTCTGGCCCTGCTCTTTTCCCTCTTTTTATTCTGTTTTGTTTTATTCCCTCCATCCTTTCTCTTCTTCCTTTTGCCTGCGGAAAGAGCTGGACCGCTGTTACCTCCCTGAAACACGCCGAGCCGGTAAGCGGGCACGCTAACTATTTCTGTTTCCTGCTTTTTTTGTGTGTCAGTCTTGTTGTATCTCATTTCTGCTTCATTCATTCTAATTGCTTGGGTAGAGAGAGAGGCTAGCGCGATACCTAGGTGATGCTGTACCGGCATCCGTCGCAGCCGGCTGGGTGCGGAAGAAGAAAAAGCGAGGGATTGGAGGAGAGAGGGAAAGGGGTGTTCTACTTTCTCAACCCCATGATCGGTCGACTGGGGCTCGTCCTCTTTCACTGCAGCACATGGCAGCCTATACACACACACACTGACACACAAACACACAACACTCCAGTTGCATTACACGTCCTGTAAAACTAACCGTCTGCTTTTATAAAGCTAATTAACGCACCTATTAGCCTAATCAATACACATCCTCTCACATTAACTGAGGCCAGTGGTGCATAAGGAGGCGTTATGGGCAAATAGTCAGGGGCGCTTTTATAGATGCACTGTGCAAGCGTTTTCTTTCTCTTTAAGCGACGTGATAGCTTGATCTTCATAGAAATTACATTTTATTCCCAGTTGGCATTTGCACAGGCATTTCGGTGCAACCCAGAAACCACACAGGGCTAATTAGGCTGCATGCGGTTGTATGTGTGCATGCTTGTGCATTGTTGTAGTTAAAAACATGTAGCATGTGAAGGGCTGAGAGAAATGAATGAAACCATGAATGGAGAGACGAACCACTCCTTTTTTCGATCCTCGCTCGCTCTCGTGTACATGGGAGAGGAAATTCACACCTGAGGGGGGAAGAGAGAGGTGGCTGTATGAATGAAACCCTAAAATATGAAGTCTGGTCATACATGTCAGGATATGAATGCTTTTTTTTTGCCAGACCCCTGACATTTCGGGAAAAAAATCAGGTTAGGTGGCAACAAAATCTGTCATTTACTGGTAATGAATTTGTGAGGGTAGTGAGCTTTTGTTTTTAGTCATTATATAAAATCATTGTTCCTTGCACAAGTACAAAAGACTAATACTCATGTATTAAAAAGAACTTGAATCACACCAAATTTGACGTGTAACCTATAAAATTAATGCAAATAAATGCAGTACAGCAAATATATGAATATATATATATTTTATTACTACTAGAAATGATCGAAAATGCTTTTTAAACAAAAAAGTTTTAAATTTGACCATCAAATTATTATATACCTCATTAGTTGGTGTTAGCACCATATACACATCAGTTTATCACAAATATATGCTTTACCTTTATATATAATCAATATGAGGCTGAAAATTTATTTATTTGTCTGTTGCTAGGACACTCCCTTTGAACATTTTATACGAGGCCTCTGATTGGCTGCAGCCAATGATGCAAGTTTCTCACCCCAAATCTTTCCCCTTCGCCCATGGAAACATGCCTGTCTATATTTCTTCCTTTCCATCTCTCTACCTCCGTGTCAGAGACCGTCTGAAAGTCGTCTCCATCATGCATCTCTCTATCTCTTCTTTGTTACAATCAGGGTAGATGGATAGCGCCGACCGGTTTCTCTTTGTTGTCTTCCTATTTCAGATCAGTTGTATAAAAAAATCTACTGGCAGTAAGAAAGAAAAATCATTAAAGCTTAATACAGTAGCTGTTCATTCTCAGTGGTCTGCTCTCTGCTGATTTGTGATTTCTGGTCCTGTGCTGGTGGCAGTGACTCTGACCCCCACCTTCCACATGAGCATTATGTATGTGCTGTACTGTAAGTGGGTCAGGGTAGAGAGTGTGGCATGTCATGTGTGTCTCAGGGAAGTGGCCTGAAGCTGGACAGTCATAGAGCATGGGAATCAGGAGAGGAGGGGGTTGAAATGTCTTTGCTAACCTTGGGACAAGCTTCCACCATCACCGCTGCAGCTTGACCCATACGTGCATTATAATTGCATATGTATCAAGCTCAAAGTCTTAATGATGTGCGGAACACCAAGAACTTCTTTTTGTGGTACTTAAAGGGGCAGTTCATTCAAAAATTTAAGTTCTGACATAATTTATATCGTTTACCCTCATGTCATTCCCAGGGGCATTTCTAGTGTTTCATCAGTATTGTGGCACAGCCAGGCCCCATATTTTTGCCCATATTCTCAAATGGGCAGAAAATAAAATTTGCCCATATTTTCACAATTTTATTAAATGCTGTTTTGGATACAAATGGATATAAATGGTCTATACCTGCAGTACAGAATTGTTCACAAGCTGCACGCGCAATAAAGAGCTGCTTCGTCATTGACAAACAATACATTTGCAAGTTTTACTTTCTACAATGGAAAACAAAAAAATATATATCAGTGGCAAACAATTCAGTGTTTGAGTAAATTAATGAATCCAAATGAAGTTCTAATTCTAAATAGCTAAACACTATTATAATATTATCAGAAAAATTATTCTCAGGTCAGTATATCTTCATTGACATATAAAGATTTATTAATATTTTACTGGGCCACAGCAGTACTCAAAAAGGGTGTAGTGACGCCCCTAGTCGCTCCAAACTTTCATGACATTTTATCTTCTGCAAAACACAAGTTTTCAAGAACGTTGGAGCTCAGACAACCATTGACTTTCATTGTATGGAAAAAATACAAATTTTTCAAAATATCTTTGTGTATATGAAATACATAACTTGAAAGGAACACCTTGCTCTGCGATCTTCAGCTTGGTGCCGTTTATCTCCATAAGAATGCTGACATCTTTTATAAGAGGCGTAATGGATTCAATTTGAAACCTCAGTAAAACGCAAGGCTAATTTTAAACGACCTGATAATACCAATGAATCAAATCTAACCAAATCCAGTCAACTGATAACCTGTGTGCTATGAAATTGCCGGATTAATGTCTACACCACTAACTTAAATTCAAAAAGACATTTCAAATCAAAAGATGGGAGATTACAGAGCCATTGTAAAGTGTAAAGACTCACATACTATTTTTAATAGCTTGTCTGATCCCCTCTTAAAATCCCACTGTACTTTCATTTTAATGACTTACAGGAATAATATCACAAATTTTACCAATGCCATTAATTATTGCATATTAATGAAGTTTCAAAAGTAAGCTTAAAAATTTGTCTCGCTAAACGAGGTCAGGCTTTTTATCAAACTTTCTTTAATGCCTATAATTAATTGAACGAATTTGCAACTTCATTTACCCTCAATGTGTTTAACTGTAAGGGATGTAATTGTGATTGATTTAGCCATTTTCACGATCAGTGTCAAGCTTCAAGTGCGTTTTGGCACTAATCCTTCAAATAAATTAAACTCCATTTTCTTACGTACATACAAAAAGTAGCTACACAATATGTACATCGCTCAAAACAGCTGTCACAGGAAATGGTTACAGATGCTATATTAGGTCATGGTGACCTGTGTCCACATTTTGATTTCCTACCGGCCTGAGGCGAGAGCAACGGGCTGAGACAGCGCTATGTGAGACGGTATGTCTATCTGCACCCATAGCATGTAGAGGCCAGACACTTTACACTGCTGCAGACTCACAGATCTCTTTCAGAAGGGCATGATGTGTCCAGATGACAGTGGATAGTCTCTGAGACCATTTTATGCTTTTGCATGCATTTTATGATCCGTGCGTCACCACATACGGAAATGTGAGAGATTTGCAGATGTACTGTATGTCCAAAACCGTCAAAGTGTCCATTGTCCGAAAAATTGAAAGTGGAACAATCTTGCATAAATTCTAATACTGAAATAACATTCAGAAATGAAATTAAGCTTCAACTATGTAGCTTCACTTAACAAACAGAATAGCAAAAATGACTGTTTTCAGACAGGTTTTCCCAAAAGGCTCTATTGGGACATTGAGAACCAGCCCACTGTAGGATTAAAACAAGACTGAGACTTTTTATTTGGCAGACAGGCTCTGTGGAGCAGAGGCAAAGTGAGTGATGGTGGAGCTGATACTGGGGTTCTCATCTCATCTCCTCTTATCGGTCTATCTGCCCTGCAAAATCAGACCAGCGAGAGCAGGAAAGTTGCTGCCAGACTTCCCACCAAACGCTTTGATGAGCAATCAGAAGCTTGAGGAGCAAGTTAACACAAACCCAAATAGCCTCGCTCCAAAGACAAGTTTTTAAACTGGGTCATGTTGAAATTTCCATTAGTTATGGGTATCAAAAGCCTCCTTGTGCTTGAGCTGTGCATCCAACCACACTCTTTTTTTGGTGTAAATTGTTCTGTCACTTAGTAAAAGGCAAATAAAACATGCACAGAGTACATCACATGCCCTCACTTTTGAAAAAGCATGAACAAAACTACCCAAGATCAAAAGTATATGACCTAGACGGCATTAAATGAGGTTCACTTGGAATGAGGATAAATATTTGTTTTGTGCAATAAATTTGGCTTAATAAAAAGCACTTAATTAATACAAGGAATAGGCAACATGTTAATAATAAATATCAATGCCTGACTTTAAGTACATTTTTGTATAGTGTTACATTATAAAAAATGTTGGCAAGGCAATTTTATTCACATAACAAATTTCGGTAATGCTTTAATTAATTACACTAGCTTACATGAACTAACAATGAAACATACTTGTACTTGTAAAAAACTACTGTAGTTAATATGCATTTAAACATTTACGAATACATTATTCAAATCAAAATTTATATCTGCAGACATAAACATGGTTATATTATTACATTATTTAATGGACCTGAGCTAACATGAACTAGTGAACAGTTGTATTTTTATTAACTTACATTAACAAAGACGA